GCTGCGGCATCAAGCCCAGATCCCTCGGCCCTCGCCTCCTCCTGGCCACTAGCCTCGCGCTCCCTGCGGGCCTGGTGCTCTGCGTGGCGCTGCCGCTCCTCCTCCTCCCGCCGCCTCCGCTGTTGCTGCTGGTAGCGGTGCTGTGCCTGGCGCTCATGTCTCTGTGGACAGAGCTGGCGTTAGGGACAGGAGTGAGGGCGCACTGTGCGGCCAGCGGCCACCTGGATCTGCAGAGTGGGGGTCGGGACCCTGGGGAGGCATCTGTGGACCCCGCTCCTGGACAAAGGGGAAGAGAGGCGAGGGGACCCGAATGCCAACCGGGCACCTGTCGAGCCCCTGGCCCACACTGCTGCTTTCTGAGGTGGGAAGAAGACACGTTTGCTGGCCACCAACTGTCCCCGGCCACGAGCCAGGTGTGTCTGGGAGCTGGGGGGAGTCAGACGAGGCTGGGCCTGCTTTGTCAGGGGAACCTGGCCTGCCTGCCCCGTGTGGGGAGGCCGTAGGTTCCAACCTTAGCAGTAGAAGAAAAGATTTCAAAACATCTAAGAACAAGCCTCAGATGCCAAGGCTGTGGTATACGGTGCTCTTGCCACCCACAGCCAGGGGCCAAAGCCAGGCTCTTGCACCTCCAGGACAGCCCTGCCTCCTGAGCCCAGTAGAGCTCCCAGCCCTCTGTGGCTTTCAGAGGATGGAGGAAGAGGCTGGTGAGACCGCTTCGAAACAAATAAATTTTGTGAAAAAGGAAAGTCTATGGGGGTATTCAATACAGATGCTTTTTTTTTTCCAGTGTTGAGGTTTGAATCCAGGCCCTTCACACTGAATTACACTCAGCCCTCATTAAATTTTTTGCGTTGTTTTGTGACAGACTCCAGCAAAGTCGCCCAGATGGGGCTCAAACTTGTGATCCTCCTGCCTCAGCCTCCCAGAGCGCGGCAGTGACCCTCAAAGGTGAGTTTACTCTTTTGAAGGCCACAGTCTGGTGAGGCACAGAGCCGCCCAGTGCTCTGCACGCCCCACATGCCCAGGGACTGCCCACGCCGTACCTTGAAGGCCTCGCGCCGCTGGTACTCAAGTTTGGCCATCTCCTCGGCCACCCAGCCTGGGATGTCAGGGACGGCCACATGGATGAGGTACTTGAGGAGCAGAGCAAAGTGCTGTGGGCACAGATGGAAGCTGAGGCCTGGGCAACAGTGCCCCAGCCAGCCCGCGCCCAGGCTGCCAGCGCCCACCTCCAGCACCACCACAGACACGATGGCCGCCTCCGGGCTCAGCCAGGGGAACAGGCGCTGCAGCTGCCCGCACTGCCCGATGAGGTAGCAGTTCACCACGATGGCCAGCACGCCCATGGCCTCCATCACTTTCTGGGGGACAGCGGGCAAGGTTCAGTGGGCCTGGCTGGCTCACAGCTGGGCCCCAGGCCGGACCCCTGGCCGCCCCATGTGCCTGCCCGGCCCACCTGCCACTGGCCGATGCTTTCCACGCGCCGGCCAAAGGGCCGCTGCAGCCCCGTGCACAGCTTGAAGGCATCGCTGCGGATCTCGATGAGGTTGTTGACCAGGGCACAGAGTGCAGCCAGCGGGAAGGCAGACGAGAAGAGCACAACGTAGCCGAACTGCACGAACATTTCCTGGTAGTCCTGGAAGGTGTCCTGCGGGCCGGCGGGCGGGCAGGTGCGTGGGAAGGAATAACAGTTCTTTGGAAAACAATTTCTGGGAAGCCTTCTCTGCCTGTGTGAGCTGGGGTGAGGGCTCCTCGTCAGGTGGGTCAATCCAAGAGGAGCGGTGCTGCGGCTTCCGCTTCCCTGTGGGGTCGCCAGAGCCGGGCTCGGGGTCTCGGCCTCCCTCGGGGCCCTGGTCCTGGCCTTCGCCCCCGGCCCGGCGGAGCAGGATGGTCGGGGGCTCATGCTCGGGGCTCCCGGGAGGCCCCTCTGCCTCGTCCTCGTCCTCGCCCAGGGTGAATACGCCCGGCTCCAGCCCCTTCTCCACCATGGTGGGGCTGCCCTCATCCAGGAGCGCCTCAGGGCCGGGAGCAGGCCGGTGCCGCCTGGTGCCCCGCTCGGCAAAGCTGACCTTCTTCAGCCGGAGCCCACAGTCCAGGAGGCCGACATCCTCGCCCTCGCCGTCCTCGTCCACGCCGTCCTCATCCTCCTCATCCTCCTCATCCCCTTCCTTGGCACCCCCGGGCCCATCCCTGGCCTCCCCGCCCTCCCCTGTGGGCCTGCTCTCCACCGTGGTGCTCTCCTCCTCCTCCTCCGGTGCCCCACAGCCCCCACTAAGACATCTTCGGTCCCCTGCCCTGCTGCCGCCCTCGTAGTCCTGGGGTTCGGGGTGGCGGGAAGCGGGGCGCCAGAGGCTCAGGCCGCCAAGCAGGGCATGGGCCAGCCCCGCCAGGGGGCCTCCCCGCCCTCCCCTGTGGGCCTGCTCTCCACCGTGGTGCTCTCCTCCTCCTCCTCCGGTGCCCCACAGCCCCCACTAAGACATCTTCGGTCCCCTGCCCTGCTGCCGCCCTCGTAGTCCTGGGGTTCGGGGTGGCGGGAAGCGGGGCGCCAGAGGCTCAGGCCGCCAAGCAGGGCATGGGCCAGCCCCGCCAGGGGCCAGGGCCACACCTGCCCATACTTTGGCCCGGGCTGAGAGCAGGAGGCCCCGGAGGGAGAGGAGGAGCAGGCGGAACCGCAGGGCCACGAGCGGGACCAGTACTGCCCGCAGCTGCCGCTCGAGGCTCTGGGACAGGGACAGGACGAGCAGGAGCTGTGGAGGGACCGACGGACAGATGGACAGACGGACAGGCAGAGAGAGGACGCATGGATGGACGGACGCAAGGACGGACGGACAGAGAGGAGAGAAGGATGGAGGAGGGGGGGGAGAGGCCGGGGAGCCCTGGGACCCCTGAGCCAGGTCCGGCCCCCCACTGGCTGCCCCTGGAGCGGGGCCTCACCTCCTTGAGACGCTCCATGTCCTTGAGGTAGAAGCCGATGTAGAAGAGACTCAGGTAGGAATTGACAAACTGGAACTGTGGGCGGAGGGTGGAGGCGACGCTCACCCTCAGTCCCAGCAGGTCCCCTGCCCCTCGCCTGCCGCAGCCACTCACCAGGACGACCTTGATGACGAGGTGCTTCTCATAGGCGCTTTCCAGCCGGTAGTTCTCTAGGAGCCGAGCAGGGCCATGAGGGCCCCAGGCAGCCTCTCCCGGTCCCCCAGATGCTGGCCTCCCCCGGGGCAGGAGGGACGCGAGGGCGGAGGACCCCGCCGAGCATACCCATGTCGTTGAGCCAGATGGCCAGCTTCTTGTAGCCCTCAGCACTCACGCTGACCAGCAGGGCCAGCACTACCTTGGGCAGGAAGCGGGCCAGGCGCGGCAGCCCCTTCACACTCAGCACCAGCTCCTGGGGGTGGTGGGGTTGAGGCTCAGGGTGGGCGGG